TTTGACCTAGAAAATGGTCAATAGGTTTAAGGCATGATCTCAAGAGTCCAATTTCATCATTTTTACCTAATGACATGATTCAAAACATTGCAAATCCATTGGATTGACAGATGAATTTTGCAGTCAACTGGTCAAAAGTCAACTGTATAATGAAAAGTCAAACTTTGACTTTTTGGTCAAATTTAAGCACCAAAGATCACAATTCACCAAAACATGTCAAAATATGAAACTTATTCATCAAGAAATCAAGAAATCAAGATTTCATTTTGAAAAGTCAAAATTTCTAAACTTCAAAAAAATTTTAAGTGTAAAATATTTCTTATTTTTTCATAACTTTGAGCAATTTTTCATTATGATACAAGATGATTCAAAGGAAACTTCCAACATAAAAGTTGTAAATCTCCATGAAATCTACAACTTTTCTTTACACAACTTCTCCTAAAAGTGCTTGGATCTCAAGTTATAATTTTATGAATACATGCTCATGAACTAAAAAAGACTTAGTGAAATTTTGCCCTAGTTAGGCAGATTTTTGACCTAACTTCGTGGAAAATTTTCACATAGTTCCAAGGGAAATCTTCAAAAGCAATTCAAATATGCATTGTAAAGAACATTGCAAGCTTTCCAAAATGTCCAAGAAATCCTTGAGATCATTCTTGAGTAGGGAGAATCGGAGAGATGAAGTTGGTGTTTTGTCACTTGAATTATAAGTCATTTTCATGATGAACACAAATGCAATTTCAATGTTAGGCTGCATAATCTTTACTTTGCAGGCCTCAAACTTGTTTGTCACTCCATAATTAATGGATTACACAAACTTTTGAGCTATAATCCAAGTGGTTTAAGCTTTATCCAATTCACATTGCCATTTTGGGAAGAAAGTTAACAATACCATTCTTGTAAAGCAAGCTTTTTGCATAAAGTTCACATTGAGCCTCTAACTTGTTCCCTCTGATCACACTCCATCCACAAAGTCATAAGCAAGCTTGTTTAAAGCATAACCACTCTATCTTAGCAAGTACACAATACTTTGAAACTTGTTTTGTCAAAAAATCACATGTTTAGCTTAAGGATGCAAATTTGAATTCTGATCAACTAGAGCATCCCAAACTTGTTGCTTATAAATAGAGTCACTATTTGTGAGCTAGGAAGAGCTTGAAGACCCTTAAACTCACTCAAATTCCCTCTATCTAGAAACTTTCTCAAAACACCATTGTTGTGCAAGTTCTGACTTTACATACCAAACTCCAAATCTCCTCGTGCGTTCTTTGGCCTTTCACTTCCAAAAGCTTCTAAACATCAAATACAAACCATCCAAAGTCCATTTGCTCAAATGTAAAACATCCATCATCAAGTTCCATTTTCAAAAACAGGGGTCTGCATCTTGACTTCTCCAGAGCTCCTCAGCCACTTTCAGCTCAAGCTAATCATTGCATTAGCTTCCTGGGACCTCAAGGAAGTTAACCCGGTCCTTACAGCACTTTGAATCAAGCTCATTTGCATTTCACGATTTCCAGTTTTGAGGTATTTTTCTTGAACTTCTATCTCATTACTTAGGCATTGTTAGGCTTGCATTTATGAAGATAAAATGTAGACCTCATTGCCACGAAGCTGTACATATCCATAGTTTTCATTTACATGGCATGAGCTTAGAGAATTTTAGAGTTGAAGTTTCTGAAATTTTTAGGGTTCAAATTAGGGCCAGAGAAATTCTCATTTATCTTTGACTTTTAGCTTTAGTTATTTACATGGTTAGATTCGTGAGGAAGAATGCAACAACTTTCATTTTTTCATCTTCCATTTTTGTTGAGAAATGAAGAAGTTACAGGTACACCGCCTGAAGATTGAAGATGAAGTCATCAGGACTTGATTTGCCTTACATATTTATTGTTTTGTTTATATGAACAGATGTATAGCCACTCCAGTGGTAAAGCGTGCGCCTGTTAACCTATGGGACCTGGGTTTGAGCCCCAGTGGTACCCTTTTCATTTTCCATATTTTTCAATTTTTCCGTTTGTTTTGTTTTTGCAGGCGCTGGGCCCTTTGGGCCTGGCTTGTTTTATTTATTTTTACTAACTAACTCCAGGCCTTGCTTCAGCATCCCCTGGCTCTTTGTTTTTATTATTTCATTTTTTTTCTTTTATTTTCATTTTATATTTTATTTTTATTATTATTATTATTATTTATTTCATTATTATTATTATTATTAATAAAAAAAATCTCAAAAACAATTTATTTATTATTTAGGCAATAATATATTCATTTTATTTTCTCCATAAAAACAAAAGATAAAAATATTTTTTTTAACAATTAATTTCTTTTCTTAATTAAATAATATTTAGATAATTAGATTTAATTACCATATTATCCTCTTGTAAATTAAAATTAATTTAGAACTTAGGTTTATTTTAATTAGTTTGATATTATTTTTAATTTAAAACCCTTTCTTAAAAAACCCTAAAAATATTTTCTTAATTAATTTCTTTTCTTAATTATTTTAAGTTAATTTAATTTTGATTAATTATTTTTCTCTAGTTAGGTTTAGGTTAAAACCCCTTTCATAAAAAATCCAAACAAAAATCATGTTTCTTTCCATTTGGATTTGTACTTTATATTTATTCATTTCCTTGTACATTGATATCAATTCAATATAGTTGTAATAGATTAATTAGGCTTACATTCTTGCAATCCCCATTTGTAATTTGTACACCCCCTCCCAAATGTTGTAATAGCGTAGTAACTTTAAAATTTCGTAATTTATCACTTTCATATATACATGTTAGTAAATTAGGGTTTAAGTATTGTTTACAAAAATATATGGATCAATAATAAATTTTTTCCGTATACTATTTTTGAATAAATAATATTTGGATCTTAAATATCCTTTTTTTCATATATAAAAATAATTTGATCAATAGTATATTTTATCTCGTATACAAATATTATTTTTGTTTAAGTATTGTTTACAAAAATATATGGATTAATAGTAAAGTTATTTATATAAAAATATTTAGATCAATAATAAATTATTTCCCGTAAATTATTTTTGAATAAAAATATTTGGATCATAAATACCGTTTTGCTTATATAAAAATATTTAGACCAATAATATATTTTTCCCATATAGAAATATTATTTTTGTTTAAGTATCGTTTACAAAAATATCTGAATCAATAGTAAATTTTAGTATATAAAAATATTTAGATCAATCATATATTTTTTCCCGTAAATTATTTTTGAATAAAAAATATTTGGATCATAAATATCATTTTTCTTATATAAAAATATTTAGATTAATACTATATTTTTTCTTGTATACAAATGTTATTTTTATTTAACTATTATTTACAAAAATATCTAAATCAATAGTAAATTTTCGTATATAAAAAAATTTAGATCAATAATAAATTTTTTTCCATATATCATTTTTGAATAAAAAATATTTTGATCATAAATATCATTTTTTTAATATAAAAATACGTAAATCCAAAATATTTTTTTGCTCGTATATAGATATTATTTTTATTTAAATATTATTTACAAAAATATCTAGATTAATAGTTAACTTTCATATATAAAAATATTTAAATCAATAATATAATTTTTCTTGTAAATCATTTTTGAATAAAAATATTTGGACAAATAATAAATTTTTTGTTATTTTCAAAAGGAGTAACACAATAGGTTTGAGCTATAATATATCTATTTTTCACTATCAGTATTCGCATTCTGATATTTCTACTATAGTTCAATTTATCTATTTATGCATTAAGCCACCCCTGTTGCGCAAAATGACTATTCATAAAGAGTTGTGTTATGTTGATACAAATTTGACATCAGACTTTTATGCAAAGATTATATGGTATACGCAATTTAAATACTATTTTATTAAGCATGGTTATAATATGGTTAATGATTATATTCACATGTCACGGTTTACGACATAATTCGAAAGAAGTGAAACGGATCACATGAAGTGTGTTAATGGACAACAAATTCACAATGAAGTTGTCAAGAATTTCATTTTTAATGACAACAACTTTCATTTATATGGATCTAGAGAAATCAACTTACTTTCTCTTAAGTTCTCTTTAAGTTTTTCTGTAGATGCATAAACAGTTTCAGCATCACCATGTCTACGACCAACACCAACAAAACAACGAAATTCAATACTAATTAAAATCAAGAGGTGTAATATATTTCAAATCTTTGAGATAAATATATTTCATGAGTTTCAACAAAATTTATGCATAAAGTTTGAAGCTGTAAAAATAATAGGCCAAATCTTTTGCTGTTGAAGCATGGTTATAACATAAACAATCATTGGAAACACAAACTTGTGTTTTGATTCATCTTATACGAATGCATGAAGTGCTTCAACTGCTAGGGAGAATGACATAAACAAAAGAAACAACTGTTTACACAACTGATATATAGTATAAATAAAAGTTATTGTATGAGAGCTTAAGCATAACTTATCTCTAATCAAAATGGGAATGATGGTAAACTCTGCATAAGATGCTTCTATATCTTGGAGAGCTTATGAAGATAAGCTAAACATAACTTATTGGCATGTCAAATATTGAGTTTAAATGACTTTCAAAATAAATTAGTTTTGTATTATACGTGAGAAGACTGCATTCAAATGTCAAATGAACTGCATCAGACACCAAACCTAAAAAGGCGTGGTAATAAATTTAAAAAGTCAGCAACTGAATCAGTTCCTCATAAAATAAACAAAACCGTAAGTAATAAGTAAATGTTTCAAAAAAACTTATAAGTTGTTCTAAGCTTATTTCCATTGATTATTTTGATAGAGTCACTCATGGAGATTTAAAAACAACTTCTTCAAAGTTTATATGGAATTTACTCTTGTTTTTCTCCATGATAGAAACATCATGTGCAAGATAAGCTGAAAATAGCGTATAGCTTAAGTCAGTAAATAAACTCAGATAAGTAAATCCAAACAAAAACTCTAAAAACAAATTCGAAAGATTACTTCAAACATCAGTGCTTTGGTCAACACTTTTAGCATTTCCCAACATAATATTAAGCTATACAAAACAATAACAAATAATCACATGTTATTATAAGATCAAACAATTAACTGATAAACCAGATCAAACAAAAATCTAAGAAGAAGAAGAAGAACCTTAGCCTTTGAAGCCCCAACTCGACCTTCTTTGTCTTCCTTAGCCTCAATAGTGGATGCCACTATACCTGTAACATGAAAACAAGTTCCAGTAATTAAAGAAACTTAAAAACATGAGTGGATCTATCAAAATCGATTTTGCAAATTAATCAAGTGCGTACTTCTCATATCATGCATTTATAAATTGATTTTTTATTCTAAATTTTTTGCTTATTCTCGTTGTACATAATCAAGAATACCTAAGAAGTTAAATTTCCTATTGAACCTAATCAGAATCTATGTATCAATAAATTGAAGAAAGTGAAAGATTAAAGAAAACTATACTCGTGCCAAATGCACAGAGCTCAACATCATTGTCAGTCTTCAGAACAAAAAACAATTTAAAACCAGAATCTAAACAATGCATCAGATTTTGTACCCTAAATCTACAAATTTCTAGCCCAACGATTTATGTAAATAAACCCTAACAACATGAGACTTACCTCTTTGTCAACCAGAATCATGTCGAAGTGTTCTTTATTCTTGGAGATCGCCGTTGATTTGTGATGGATTTTGACCGCTAATTTCCAGAGCTCCTTCTAATTATTGATGTTCTTGACACTTTCAAAGGGTCTTGCCATCTTGGTTGTTTGGTTTAACCATATGAGAGAAATGAAAAGAGAGATATGGAAACCAGAAATGCATCTTTTATCCTTAAGGTTGGCTTCCACAATAGTTCCACTCAAATAAAGAGCCTCTGCAATCTGGGTAAATCCATAAACCTCCATCAAAGTGTTAAAAGAAACCTGATTTTTGATTGGAATCCCTAAGATATAAGAATATTCCTCCAAAGTGAGAGTTTTATACCCCAAATTTGTCTTACCCTTTTTACTTTTTAGGTGGCTTAAGCTTTTCATGTCATCTGCATACATTCTACTATATTCATCCGCATAAATCATATTCATCCATAAAACATCTTAGTTCAAAAGAATTAGTGCTCGTGCGAGCTAGGGTTTTTCAGTGGTTTGAGATTTCTACATTCAATAAAGTTGATTTCCCTGGTTCCCCTTGAGCAATAGACTGTGGAATTAGTTTTTGAAATATGGTTATCATGGATTTATTTCTCATCAGCTCATGAGGCCAACTCTCATTCAAACTCATTAAATCTTGTATTAGGGTTTATCTCTCTATTGTGATCAAAATCAGGGTTTCTCAGCATTATGCCTCAGCTAGGATTTCGAATCCCTCAAGTGTTCAATATGACTAATCATTGGTTCTCAAAGGCTACCTCATCAATGCATAGTCTATAACCTCAAATCACAATTAATATTTCATCATTATTAGTCCATAATATGCACCAATGTGTCTGGGAATGCAAGAAAATATCGAGTTTGTAAATCGATTCAAAGCACATTGATCAAAAAGTCAACATTTTCAAGATCAAGTTCAGAAGCTCACAACTTCTTTGATATTCAAAATTTCTGAGTGATTCATTGAGCATTTGGTTCCTTTTGACATCCTCTCTAACTTATCTTTACAAGTTAAGGGCTAACCATGTGCGCAAGATCATTAAAAGTTCTAATACTTTAGAGGATGGTTCTTTTTGCAACATATCACAAATGATGTCGTCTACGAGTTTGCTTCAAGGATCGACAACCAAATGTGCTTAGAAGGCCATGAAATTTGTTGGAACATTTTAGACTTATAATTGATTTTTATGTCGATATTATTCATCACTAAGTCAAGGGTAAAGGAAAGATGTTCAGTTTGAAGATTCATTGATTAATTATTACTTCTTGCTTGTATTCGAGCATTAATAATTACTAAATTAAAATTGGATTTTGATCAAGTCTCCTAAGGTTTTTATTTGTTCATCGAGATTTTGTTCAAGAAAGAAGTTTTAGCCGTTTTTACTTGGAATGCACTTCAAGGTTCAAACATCATTCAAGAAATCCAAGTTCATTCAATTTCAAATTCTAGAGGTTACAAAATACATTCATGTCTTATTTGACTAAAATTGTTATTCAAGATTTCCAACAAAGTTCATCATGATTCATTCAAAGGATCCATCTTTAGATTTTATTCGAGATTCATTCTCTCTGCATTTTCTACACTATTTTGTTCCAAGGTTCATTACAAACATACATCACCATTCATGTCTCATTACAAAACCATACACAAACACATGAATTCCTAAGTCCTAAAGTGCTAAAATTACATGTTATCACCATATGAAATCTTCATGACATATCAAATTGGTGCCTTGCCCAAAATTGTACTTTTCATTCTTCATGTTAAACCACAACAATGATACAAAGCCCCACAAACCAGTCCAAAGTTTGTGCCATAACCTATGCCAAAACAGCCTGCTACAACAAGCCAAAATCTGCACAAAACAAACTTGTCCATAAACCACCAAAATAGCTTTGCAATGCTACTTGTACCAGTCCAAATGTTGTTGTCCAAAACCTTATTATTATTGCACAGACCCTGCTCCATAAACCAGTCCCTATCCCAAATAAAATCAGCCTTGTATCATACTGTCCAACCTGTAAAACAGTCCAAAAACATGTCAAAAGCTTGTTGTCCATAAACAAACATAACAGTCCAAGAACCTGCTGCTAATGTTGTCCCAAACCAATCCAAATGCTACTATCCAACCTGCTGCAACTTTGCACAAAAATAGACAAAGCAAACTTTATCAAAAAGCCACAAGACAGTTAACCAAAAGTGTTCAAATTCATCCCACCCCCCCCCCCCCCCCCCCCCCCCCCCCCGAAAAAAAACACCTATCAATCCTCCTATATAACAAGAATTATACACACGACAAAAAAGGAAGAAAAAGTGTTAAAAAATGCTGCAAAAAACCTACTCAAAACTTTCTCCAAAGCTTCAACATACATAAACTTCAGCTTAAAACTAAAATTCGCCGCTCACCACTATCCTCTTTAAACTTCATACAACCTTCACCCAATCCTCAACCATCTTATACCTCATAACCACAAACCCTGCAAATCTCCTCACACCATAGACTATACAAACTTAAACAACCTCCAACTTCACTCTCACAACTCCCTGTACACAAAATATTTCCTCTCAAAATATTCATAACCCATGTTCTCATAACCACATATACTAATTCACAAACTACAACAACAACAACAAAACTAAAACACAATGAACAAGCAAAGACGTTACCTGAATCGTCTAATTGAGGCACATCATCAACTTTGTTTTCAAATCTCCAAACTGAAGTAATTTGAGTGCATGAAAACACGACAATGTTCAGCTTCACAAGTAGTTCCTAAAATGCAATAACATTGATAACATCAAACAAACAATATACATATCACCATAGAGAAGCTTTCACGCAAGACTGAAGGAAGAAGAAGAGGTAAAAATGGTTTGAAACGGGAAGCAGAAAGGGAGAATATAAATTCACTTGTTCCTCACGTCGCTGGAAAGTGTTGGAGAAAATCTTGTATATGATTTTGTACGTCCTCTCATTCTTTTGGATTTTTCTTTATACCATAATGTTCATTATGTATCCCTAATCCAAAATCTATGGTTGCTTGCACCGACTCTTCACCATTTCCATTTAATCTTAGTGGGAATATTTAGATTTTTTTTAGTTTGATTCAAAAATATATGAAAATGTTGAGGCTACTATGATTTTAAGGGTCAAATTCAGGTTGAGAAGAAGGAGGCCAAGCGGTTCTTTCAGTATTAGGGTTTTCTTTTCCAATAAATTTTTTTGGCATTGCAATTGGGCTTCTTTTAACCCGACTCATTTCCGTTAAAGCCCATTTATCCATTTGTTTCGTTTATTTTAGTTTTCTATTTAGCCTATTAACAAGTCAAGCATATTGGTTGCGTTGGTAAAACTTAAGAGTTTCAAAATAATGGTTCCAAGTTCAATACTCATAAGGACCATTTTTGGTTTTCTTTCCCATCTCCCTTGTTTTCTCTTCTTAATTTTATTCATATCATTGTTTTAATTTGGTTTAATTTCTTCTTTGAAAACAACAAAAATATTAGAGTTTTAATTCTTTTACTTTATTTTAATTACTTAATAAAAATCATAAAAAATGTTAAGAACTTAATTTCTTTACTTTTGTTTGATTGCTTGGTTAATCTTGATAACATGTTCCCTTAGGAATCCCATGAAGCGATTAAATTCACTTTCGATCGTTTCAGTGTTGAAAAGAACTTTAGAATCAATTATTTGCATGATAACATTAGGATAGACTTTTCCCTTACACTTTTCTTTTGCATTGCATATTTCCTAATTAAAACTAAATTTCTTTCCTTGATAAAAAAAACCAAAAACACTTAATTATTACTCAAACCCATTTCACACTTAACAAAAAAACTCAACAAATCAAATATTTCTTCAAAAGGGCATGTTATATCCATTATACCGTGATACAGGCCGTGCCTATTGCTAGAATGCATGCGCTAACATTGTCCACTAAAAAACACCAACAAACCAACATTTTCTAGAAGAACTACGGTGTTCTAATTCCTTCACGGGATACGTAGGCAAAGGGTTGTGAGATCCTCACGAATGCACTAATAAAAACCATTTCATTTCCCTTAGCAAGTATAGTTTTAGATAGACGCACCCTTAGAAACAAGTAATCAAAATGGTTCCCGTTGAGTACAACGGATGTGTGGGGTGCTAATACCTTCCCCTTACATAATCGACTTCCGTACCCTCTATTTTGGTTGCAAGACCATCTTATCCATCCTCTTGGGGTTTTCTCGATATTTCCCTTTCCTTCGGGATAAATAAAGTTCGGTGGAAGCTTTGAGTTTTTTTGTCGGTCGCTTCAACTGACGACTTTACTGGGGACCCTATGCGAGTCTATCCTAGTTTTGTTTTTTTCTTCTTTGAGTGTTTATTTATTTACTTTGTTTGCTTTACCGCTTTATTTCTTTATTGCTTTATTTCTTTCTTTTGTATATATTGCATTGTACTTTTTCTATCACCTATTTTGGATATGTTGTATCTTTTGTGATGTTGGGGTGGGTGATTTCATTTGACAAGTCCTATACCCGGACTAAGTTACACTTAAGATTAGGATATGCAGTATAGTCATGTTAACTTTGAGGGAGTAATCCCAATGAAGGAGGCATGTGATCCCCCACTCAGTGGAGGCCCCTTTGACTGTAGTTTTTGTTTATCGAGTAATCGAGAAGACATTATTGCTTTCAACCTGGGAGCCTGTGAAGCTGAGGAGCCGTAGAACCGTTAACCCATCCTGGCCTTTTTAGGTGTAGTGCGGAGACTATGACAGAGTAATCAGAAGTATTTGTCATGCAATATTACACTCAGACGAGTTTTTCCTGCAAATATTACTAATTATCGAGTAATTGGAACGTTGGTAATATCCAAAGGAAGAGCGTAAACTCTGGGATTTCCCTAGAACCTTGTTCGGCAGGTGAGAAACCCTTAGTATATACCTTATGGGTGGTTACCTTGACTCCATACTCGTGACGTCAGACCTTTACTTTTAGGTTATACAAAGGACTATAGAGTGGTTATCCATAATATGTGGAGCTGAGATCACATACCATGACATCATACCATCACGTATATGCATCTCGTATCTAAGGAATTCCAAAGACAAGTATTGTTAGTTGAGCTCTTCAAAAATAAAATTGTTAAAAGATACTTATGGATAGACGAGTCTTTGTATTTCCTCAGAAATAGAGATGAAACATGCATTCATATTATCATGCATTCATTATTCCCAACAAAAACTTATTGGGGTCCCTTTTCAATCAGACTTTAGTGAACAACAAAGACGGCTTCCCTACATCCCTACCATACAATAAGCAACCAGTGAAGACTTACGAATCTCTTTGAAGAAAATCAGAATGCTCTCTGCCGATATATGGACACCACGGGCACCCAAATGGATCAGCTTATGGAAACCCTTCATGTTGTCATCAAGGGTCAAGAAGAGCTCCATCAAAGTGTTGCCAAGCTTGCCACTATTACCCCCTCCACTTTTGCAAATGGAGGGAATAATAATGTGAATGTTGAGACCCCTACGAGAATTCCTCGAAATGATACTGATGATCATCACGATGTTATTGATCAAGACTTCGGGATTTAATACTGTTGCAATGTGCCTCGTGCGTGGGGTAGTTATTTCTCCCAAGTTCAAGGTTATTGAATTTGACAAATATAAAGGCACCTCCTTCCCAGAGACTCATCTTCGTTCCTATTGTCGCAAGATGGCAGCTTATGCTGAAAATGAATAGTTGCTCATGCATTTCTTCCAAGACAGCCTGACAGGGGCACCATTGGACTGGTATATGCGAGGGAGGAGGATAAATTAATTATGGGTTGTGAGAGAGGAGGAAATTACAAAAGAAAAAATGCATTTAGAAACACCTCTAATGGCATTTATATATGAAGGATAAATTCTGTTTAAGATAGGATTTGTTACTAGTGGTATAGGTTGGAAGTTGGTTGTTTAATGTAAGATGCACAATCATAGACTAAACAAGGATTTGGAAGGCCATGACATATTTGAACGTATAAATATCATGAAATAAAGTTTGTGAATGACAAGACGAAATACAATATGACACCAAGTGCGTGTCAGCTTGCCAGTTTCCTTGCGCCTACCGTAAATTTATATTTCTGGTACTTTCCAGTATATGCACTTCCCAAAAATTTTAAATTTCCAATAACAAGCACAAGCCACGGTAAATTCTTTAAAATAAGTGAAATTTACGGTATCATGATGAAATTTTCGGTTAGACACCGTAAATTTACAATTTTTTTATATATAATAGAGACATTAACATAAATATGCCATAAATGAGGGATGTCAAGTATAAGTGGAGGGTGTCAAGTTAAAATATCCAATAATATCTTTGTTTTTTAAAGGAGTCCACACTTTATAAGTAAATAAAAAAGAAAAAAAAAAGAAAGAAAAAGAAAGAACCGATAACCTATCTATAATATAAGAAGATACTATGCTCTGGAAAATACAAATTTACCCTGCTGGTTTCACAAGCCTCCACGTCATTATTTTATCTAACACCTTCAATTGGTTAACGTTTGAAATACCCAAATGTAGTGGTAGAAATATTGAGACTAAGCCATTAGATTGACTTGACTTACACAGATCAAAATAAAAATCACCATCGCGCTTTATTATTTCCAAAGGAACGGGAAAAGAGCTAATAACCCAAAAAAAGGGGGAGAGAATCTAAGTTCGGGGGTCGATTATGCAAAGGAAATATATTAGCACTCTAAACATCTACGGTATTCCGCAGGAACCTCTTTGAAAGTCTGTGTATTTTGCTATAAACGTTGTATAAGAAAATAGATGGTGGAAATGAGAAAAAAAATATTTTTTATAATTTTTGCACCCGTCGCAATTGCGTACCTTTGATGCCTACATACCACCTTCTGTGCAATAGGGGATCAGGGTACTCGTAGTTCATTTTTAAAAATTTTAAAACACAAGTGTGTTGGTTAATTTTAAGAGACGAGACATCATCGTCATTGTCCGAGTGGAAAATATACTTACTACCCACAATTATGAGAAAGGAGAATTTGCGTCATCTCAAAGTGGAGGATATGGCTTGGATTTTAGAATCAACAAAGCCTCGCTCAACACCCAAGTGAAAAATATCTCATTTCACTACATATTGTAGAAGTATAGTAGCTCGCATCACTACAAAGATTGACAAGAGTCTAATCTTTTTGAGAAAATTTTAAGGTAAAAAGCCAAAGTGGCAAAGATATTTTGAATGAGATTTATTGACTTTTAGTCTTCTCACAAAAATGTCAAAGTATTATTAAGTTGATTAAAGTTTGATTAAGAAAATATTTTTGTAAATATATGGACATAATTCCAAGTTTATTTGTGAAAACGGTTCAAGTTTTAAAAACAAGAAGTGTTTTCAAAAGGAAGGAGAATATTTTTGAAATTAAAGAAGGTGGGAGGAGATGAAGAGACTATCCTAAAGCATAAGGTAAAAGCTAGCGTAAAGAACCGTCTAACCAACAAGAAGCCAACACTTGACATATTGAGTCAATGTAGAATTCACATCATTTGAATTTGAAACCAAACAAGCAAAGATAATAAACCTCTTAAGAAAACCAAGCTTCAATTGTATTAAGTCTTCACAAAAATTGGGCTGAGTAACGGTTGTATACAAATGAATTCCCGATCACAGATAAAACATGTAATTAAAATAACCTGCACACAAAGTAAACAAACAAACAACCCAAGGTAAACCCCAAGAACTCCAGACAAAATAACAGTTGAGGTCACAAGGTCTCAAAGTAGGTCATAACTTCTAATCCTAAGTCCAAGAAGTCCACAACTCCATAATGCAAAGGATAGTAACCAAGTAGTCCAAGTAATATTAAAAGAAATAGGCAAAACAAACCAAAAATTGTGAAAAATAGTAAAGTCAGAAATAAAAATAAAATGAGGTCACCAATATTTGTCAAAAGGTCATTGGTTCTTTCCATGTTTTTTTTTTCCAGAATTTAAAAATTAAGAA